AACGCTAACATTAAAGAATAATGTTTTTTCTTGCACTTATAGGGCATAGTGAAGTCTATGGGTTGCGTTCTTATGACCCCTCTTGTAAATGAAGTGGTTAAAAAAGGGAAGAGTCTAGATCACTGTCAGGCTGCCATCACACACCTGACAATGGTATGTACATGAATTCATCCACACATTGAAACACGCTTCCTATACGTAGGTGTAACGTCTGTTCTGATGTTTAGACTTGCAGCCCGGATGAACTCATGCACAGCTTGCTGCAACTGACTGAAGATATTGATCCAGGGGCCATTTCTGAGACCATATTAACTCTACTACCACATCTTCAAACAGGTAACACAAGTCTCAGGAGATGTTATTACCCACTAACACATACGCAACCCTCCGAGGAGTAGTGCTCCAAAAGAAAAACACTACAGTAAAACTTTCAATTTCACAAAATGTGACACCTGTAAAAAGGGAGTTGGTGTCCTATCACAATAGTCAGTCAATAATCCTAATTTGACAAGGTTAAATATTACACTGGTTTGGATCATTCATGCAAAAACAATCACACTTTGATGTCCTAAAGATAAAAGACACAATGTATTAGTATAAAGGCCTCAACTCTGATAATGTATAACACAAGGGCTTTATGTCTTATGGCAAATGTACTTTTTGCAAATGAATGTTTCAGCCATTTGGGGAAAATGCAGGCATTGTTGCTAATCATTGACATTTCATAGTCGTTAAAACGTTTTTAAAGTGAGGCATAATGGTCAAAATTTCTATTTTTTGTACGTGTATTACACAAAATAATCATGGTAACACTATCAATCATGCAGCTTAATGTAGTAGTACTCAGGTGCCAGTTCATTAGAAGGGATGTTTCTGTTATTAGCATACCCACATGGATTTATGTGACCAAAATACAACACCTGAAACACCATAATGCAATAAAACTCAACAGCAGCCTCCAAAATCACCATAAACATCTTTCAACAAAAGCTAAACATTATAACATTCATGAAGGGAGGGTTTATTGCACAACTGCAATAGTTTTGCCTTTGGCAGCTTATGGTAAAGAGTATATGTTTTATCTTTTGATGTATTCATGGAGTATGGCTCCCCCTGCTGTACACTAATGCAAACATCGTCCTGTGTGTTGCAGTGCTGCTGCTGCTGCAGCTGGAGGACGGCAAGGCAGCCAGGCTGGGCTCTGCTCTGGGCGCCCTGCAGCAGCAGCTGTCCCGCCTGCCTGTGCCTTACAGCTCGCAGCAGGAGGACGAGGATGAGCACGGTCTGTGTCGCTGCTACAACGCCCTGATCAACTTCACAAAGCCTTTCGTAGAGGAGGTGAAGAGGAAGATTGGCAGCTCCGTCACCTCCTCTGAGGATGAGGAGCTAAGGACCGAGCTTCTCAAGTTGTACGTTTTTTTCTCAGTTTGGTAAAGCCAGAGTTAACAAAATGTTTCTTCTCTGTTTGTATTTTGATGAATGTACTTTATTTATCATTACAATTGATCAATGCACTTATCTTTGTTCATTGTTGTCTGTTTTAGTTCATTTGTTTTGTTTCATTATGGGGGTGAGATAAGACACTACAGGTGAATGGGGTACCTAATTTAACAACTTTATTTTTTGGTAATTTCACTTTTCTAAAATGTTATGTTTAAATGTACAAGTTTGGCATTATTTAAATATCTGCCCATTTGAAGCAGAGATTTAAAGTCATTTCTTGCTCAGGGTATAAGAAAAAAAACAGAACTTAGAAAGCGGCCTTTAAATATATGTTTTGTAAACAGTGCATTGAAACAACTACATGTTTGCCTATAGTGTCTCACGTTAAAAATACACATGTTGGTGTATAGGCAAAATGAAACCACTGTTGCTAATGCCTCTCTGCAGTTGCATGCGGAGCTTGAGGGAGCCTTTGCTCGAGGCTGAACTGAACAGAGACAGAAAATCCTCACTGTGGCTCTTTGCAACAGAGATAATGGTAAGAGCACATTTTCCATAAATGGGAAAGCATTTAAACAATGAGTGTCATGATAGAATGTCACTGTGCATCACTGCAGGTTACACTACCAGCAATCCAAGAGTCTCTATCAGAGCTCCTGTTCTTCAGCCCTCTGAAGAAAAGCCCCCAGACGGACAGCAGTGAGTCCAAGGAGTCCAGAGCGTGTCTGGCTTATTTACTGTTCGTCCAGCTCATCACCATCGACAGCTTTCCAGCAGTATTCAGGTGAAACACTGACAAACCATATAGTGGTCACACTGATGATGCATTCACTGACAGTCACCAAGAAGTCCTGTCCATTTTGACAAACAATTGACATTGTATTGTTTCCTGCTTTTCCAGTCCTGTATTTGTTCTTCAATGCAACATGGAATACATTAATCAACTACTCAGTAGGTAAGCTGTCAGTACAGTAAGACCTGAATGTAGTACGGTAATGCTTTTCAATTAGTTAGTTTTTTTAATGATCTGTAATCTTGTTTCATCGATAGCAAAAAGGAATCACACGTGCTCAAAGGACTGGTAAGGCCACAACAACATGCAGTCAGTCTTAGAGGTGTAATAAGTCAAAGTAGAAAAGTAGAAGTCTATGGTTGTTTTTCATGGACATAACTGTGTATTTTCACTCAGGCACTGTATGAAAAGAGCTTGGAGAATGTGCAGGACAACAGCCTTCCGGTGAGCCTACAGGATCTGAAGAGCTTCTATAGTGCACCCCAGGTATGACAAGCAGCCTCAGGTTTCACTCAGGAGCAGGCTTTCTACAGGGGTGTTGTGATTTTGACTGGCTGACCGTACTTACATATGTATATATCCATAACAACTAGACCTGTGTTATATATTTTCTTGAGCTGTGTACTTACATATTGCCAAATGTTTGAAACCATTTTCAATCACAGAGAAATTCTTAATTTCAATCAATGTACGGCCTGTTTCCTTTGGCCGCCTGTAAACACTTCGTATGCCCTAAAAGCATGATTCAGCATTATTGCGGTTTGCCATAAGTGGTCATACATTTACATTTTGAATATACAGTGTCTTGATCTGGGTCATTTTAAACATATCTTTTAACCGGAGTGTTTTACCTCACAACACTCTTTTGTTTGTGTTTTATTTGAAAGACTCATGGAAGAAATAGCATATTGTGTGTTTAATCAACTATTTGGGTACTTTTGACCAATCAGTGACTTGTGCTGTGCTGAAATTCACAGAACGTGCGGCAAGTTTTAACCGATTGCCCAATGCAGAATTTGGTGAGTAAACAACAATGCTTGATTAGGATGTTCAGAGTATATCTGTGGTACTGTAAAACACAATGACGTGGTTACTTTTCTTGTGTGATCGCTGCTTCCCCAGAGAGAAACGGGACTACAGGTTTTACAACTTTCTATCGATAAATTAGATTCTGAAGCAAAGCACAAGTTCTTCAGGTGAGAGAATCATTATAGAAGGAACAGTATACCAAATGTTCATGTTTCAATAGCACATATTCTAATGTAAAATAAATTACTAAATATCTATATTTATGGATAATCTAATAATTAATATTCACATTTGTGGTGTTTTCATACTATTTTTTGGATACAATTGTTCCCCCATTAGTGATCTAATGTAAACATTGTTTGTAGTTTTAAATCAATACGTCACAATTTTTCACCAGTGTCAAACTGTTGCAAAAGTTGATGTACCTCAATTTTAGGGAAGAAATCGGATTTATGTTTTATTTTGTCTTTGCGGTATTATTTTATTATTTTCTGAATTTGCTGACATCTGATAACAAAGGTTATATTTTCTGTTGCAGGTGCATGTTGAAAACCAGCCACCATGCAGGAGTGGAGAGTTACATAGTAAAGAACATCAGGAATCAGGTTGAATGTTCTATTAAGGTAAGATAAACAAAGTCTCACAAACATCATAATTTTAGAAAATCCTGCTGCTGTATTCATGCTTATTCATGATAACCTAATTCAGTGTTTCAGCTGGTGACATTTTTTGAAGGTGTTAAATCCTTCACTCTCCTCCAGCAGTGTAATGCCAATAAATGGTTTCTGGGGGAGGAGCTTCTGCCGCTGTTGGGACTGGTGTTGTCTTTGCCACAAGGGGCTCAGACAGATCTGCTTAACAGTATGGACAAGTGAGTGATATTGAATAGTTTAACATATGGACAGATCTGTTTATGTTTAAATTCAGAGTCTAGGCATCATTCGTGACACAATTTATTTTGGATGTGATGAAGTTATAGACATGTTGGCTTTCCTAAAGAGATCTGTAATTGTGAGAACTGGTACACATTAAGCAGACTAAAGTCCTGTCTTTTGTATCCAGGATAATGGAGAGTCTGAATCTTCTACGCTACCTCCTTATCAGGGACACAGACCTGAGGAGCACTGTAAGTCAGTCTAATGTATTACTTAAGACTACTCTCCTGCCTGGTAAATGCACAAAGCTGATGATCTTCTCCTCCTACCTTCAGATTGTGTGGGAGAAGCTGTGCAGGATCAAAGATGAATACCTAAAAATACTGCGTGTGTGCATCAGCATATCAAGAGGATATTATGCTGCTGAACTGAAGGCACTGCGGCAGGATCAAAAGATAAAAGCCAGAGGTACAGTATAGCTCCTAATCTGTGTAACAAAATGACGTTGAAATAACCTTGCATAGAAGGTGATAAAATACACTGTGGAATATCTCTATGTTCCGCCCCAGAAGCCAGAGATGCTGCCAGATCCAGCAGATTAGTCAAAAGCATAACGGTGAAAAAGGAGAAAATGTCAAATATGTCCCCAGAGGTCCAGCACCAGGTACAGAAACAGTCTTTCCTATTAATAATGATTTGGATTTGAACCTTTGTAGGACAAGCAATCTGACTATTCTCTTGTGTCACAGGTGTTGCAGAGTGCTTTGGTCACATTTGACCTGATGGAGAGTCTTATATTCCGCATTGAAGAGATCACAGATGAAAAGCAGAAGAGCCAAAAACTAAACTGAGGTGTCACCTCTGACTGCTGGGATATTTCTATGAAGGTTTATTTGTTGTGCTCTGCTTGACCAATACAAAAAGAATGTAAAAATAGAACAAACTGTGATAAACGTGGATTTAAATGTGCTTTTGTATAAGGCGTGTATTAGTTAGCATCAAATAAAACAACACAAGTGTTAAGTGTGTGAAACAATGCTGAATCATATGGTGAGCTCATAGAATGTCTCTCAGCATCTCCCACACAGGACTGTTTTCAATGATGTGAGCCCGAGCCAGGGACATCCGGTCGCGGATACTGTCTACATGGGGCTTACTGGTGGCCTGCAGACAGATGAGCCTTGGCTTACTTCAAATATCACAAGGCGAAAAACAGCTTGTCTAACTTATAATGTACATTGACCAAATAACTGTGCTGCCTCTGTCTTTACCTTGGCAATAGTCAACATTCCTTTGACGATCTCAGCATTGTTTCGCACAGGCAGGATCCTGAGATTGCTGCCAGAAAATCTGAAAGAGATGCAAATAATGTAGATGTCAGAATCTCAATGCCTATATTACCAGCTACATACGTGCCAGCCAAGCACAACAAGGGGGTTACAACTTGGGAAAGAAATAACACAGCTATTTATCTACCTGTCTTGAAGCACCGACAATATTTCCAATTCCTTCTTCCCATTAAAGGGGGCGTATAGAAGAAGAAAGCTGTTCCGGTGTACTTGCACAAACGTCTTTATCCTCTCAATGAGTCCAGATTCCTCACAATGCTCCAAGGGGTCTTGAGGGTCAAGCAAAAGAAATGCAGTACCTAGAACATTATGAGAATGTTAAATGTATTAAACTAAACATGTTACTGTGAGACCTTTTCCATTACATATTATAAACAAATATTTGTGGTAATTTGTTTCCCAAGTTCAACCTGTGTAAGTGGCTTCTGTGTTAATAATAATAATAATAATAATACATCTTATTTATAGGGCACTTTTCTAGATACTCAAAGACACTTTACAGAGTCAAAGGTCTATTATAAATGCAAACTTAACAGACGTGGGAGAAGTACTCCGATCTTGTACTTAGGTAAAAGTACCAGAGTGTATAATACTCTGTTACAAGTAAAAGTCATGCATTTAAAGTGTTATGAATGTATAACACTTTTACTCAAGTAAAAGTACAAAAGTATAAGCATCTAAACATACTTAAAATATCAAATGTAAAAGTACTCATTATGAAGATTGGCCCATTTCTAAATAATATATATTATACGTTTTTTATATAATTATTGATGCATTAAAGCGTTATAATGTTTATGTGTCAACCTCAAGGCCGGGGGGCCAAATCAGGCCCTTGGCGGATTTAATTTCGGCCCGCAAGATAATTTTAAATTACTATTAGATCTGGCCCGCCGGTATATTGCACGCACACCTTCACTCCATCCTGAGGGTTTCCTCAGCTCAGAGCCTGACCCCAAACAAGATGAGATGCCAAGTATCTGGCTTGAAATAGCATCACAGAGCAGCACACTGAGTTGCAATGGATGTTTCCTTCTACACTTTTTTTCTTGAGACAACAGGGCATGTTTGGTTTTTTCTTTAAGTTGTTGTTGTCCTGTGGAAAAATGTAATCATAAGAAATGACTATGGAAAATCTGCAGATAGAGCCATAAGAAATGAATGCAACTGATTATTTAATGTTTCATGTTGTTTTTATAGGCAATAATTTAAGCTTTGTTAGTTCCAAGTTTAATATGTGAAATAAGTTCATTTCAATAAGTTTTGCAATAAACATTGAACCAGTCCGGCCCTCGACTAGTACCCATTTTTTTATTTTGGCCCCCTGTGTATTTGAGTTTGACACCCCTGCATTAAAGCGTTATCAAAGCTGGTAAAGGTGCAGCTAGTTTTAAATACATTTTATACCGAAGAGTAGCTTGTGAATTTACTCCAGGTGGAACTAGTCTTAAGTGTTTGTCGTTTATATTTCACATTATTAATCCAAATCTGCAAAGTAACTAAAGGTAGCATTCATTGAAATACTGAAGTACAAGTCTCTGAAAATTGTACTTAAGTACAGTACTTGAGTAAATCTACTTATTTACTTTACACTACTGAAACTTAATATTGTATAGCGTTACTGGGTTTGAAGTGTAAGGGAGATGTATTAAAGGGGCTCTAAAGGGTCGGTTTAAAGATAAGGGGCCTATCTAATCAGCAGCCGAGCTGACAGCAGGTTTACCTGACAGGGGGAAGATGAAGGCTCCCGACTCTACACCATCTGAAAACCTGATTCGGTGCGGCTGAGCGCTTAGCATCCTGCTTGTGTCATGGCTCTGGTGAAACAAATACAGGTAATTACATAAATCTATTTCCTAAAGTCGTTTAAAACCAGACAAAGTTAAATGAGTCAAATTTCGACAAGTGTTATATTTGGGTTTTGTATTAGGCATTGCTTTGCTAGCTAGATAGCTAGCAAACCGATATTCTTCACGTTATCTATTTATTTTACCAATATCTGACACTAAAGTCTAAAATAAATGTTTGACTACTCAGGAGTTAACCCATCACTTACCTGAAGTGAAGTGCTGACTATAATCGTTGTTTTCCACTGAGGAGTTGTTTCTGTGTGTGTCGCCATAACCCACTTCTCAATGAAAGGCTAAATATTAGAGCGGTTAGTGAGGCTTCGTCTTTTCTGGAATGTCCTCGCGGTCCATTCGCACGAGACGGTCGCAGTATTCATAGACTGTATGGCAGTGTATCAGACCACGAGAAGGCGCTGCGTGCGATACTATTTCAAAACCATTCTTTAACGTTTTTGAGACGAGAAATAACAAATACTAACGGCAAAGGCACCTTCTATTGTTTTATAATTTCGTTTGTTTAAACTATTATTAGGTAATCAAGTTGGGATACCTGTGTGCATTATGTGCTTATTTCATAGCATGACAAGCACAATTGTAAGTAATAACATAATCAAGTCTTAGCAAGCCCAACCAGTAAACACATGTTAATTAACAGTATTACTTACATCTGTGCAGTGCACCCAGGTAACATTGAACAAAAATAATACGTTTCTGTGACTTGTCAGTGACCAAACACTTTTCATTTTTCAATAAACACAAATCTTTATTTTCAATATGACATTAAATGCAAGCCAGTAGGCCATTGTTATTTTTTTTCTTTAAGAAACTTCAGTCAACCATATTATCAGAAGACTGCCATGAGAAAAAATATATTTGTCTCCTTACTCTATTCTTTCTAGAGCTGTGAAGCAACATTAATTAAACGGTCAGACATACAAAAGGTATTAGCATGCATAACATCCCGTTTGTGTCAAAAAAACTGTCCACTGAGGGCATGATGGGGAATGCAAAATAAACTGCTGCAAAGTCCAGAGTTCTGCAGATTCCCGAAAAAAAAAGATGAAAATGTTTGAGACAGCATATGATTATAAATAAGAATAAATTAAGACAAAGTTAATATTTAGAGGTTCAACATTCACAGAGGTGACAACTGTCCGGCAGGTTCTCCTCTGTGTGAGCAGTCAGTGATGTGTTTCCAATTCCACGATGGTCCACTCCCCCTGAGGAGATGCAGCGTCTTCTGGGGAGAAGCTTGTTACTGTGATGCTGGTGGAGGAGTCCTCCATGGGCGAGATGAGCTCCGCCCAGCGTTTGAAGGTCTCCTTCTCTGGGGACAGGAAGCCCTGAGAGTCCAGGCATTCACGTGAAAGGGACAGAGTCTGCTTGATCAGGTACTGGGCCAGGTTTAGCTCTTCAGGCACAGGGTTTATGACGCCCAGGTTGGACTCGTGGTCTGAGAGGAGCTGCCTGAGCATGCTCCAGTCCCGCTCTGCAAACTCATTGCTTTTTTCATCGTCCTCTCTTTGCTTTTCTTGCTCTGCCTTCAGCTTAACATTCCTGTCCTTTCCCGAGCATTGCTCGAAGGCTTCTCCAACATCCAGCTCGTAAATGGGAGATAGTGCTTTGGATGGTCGGCGGTCATGTTTGCAGGTTTGATCCGATCTGTCACAACCATTGTCCCCTAAAAACAATTGACAATACTGCAAAATGACAAACTGATTCACTCCTTTTTCTTCACATTTCAGAGGCTAGTCACTGCCTAGTTTGATACAACAGTGATGACTACATGTTTACCCTTAATGCAACTGTTTCCCTTAAAAGATAATCAATAGTGAAGTTATAAACATTATAAAAGCAGTGATGTTGATGTTCACAATATGGTTGTTCAAATGGCAACACTATGAAAAATTATGAAGTCATCATTTGAAACATCATGACTTCAAAATATGGATGCTACAGTAGGTGAATACAGTTGCCTTAAAGGTAATGCACAGAGGAATCTGAATGCATCTCTTTATCCACCTTTTCAAACAAAGTAAGCCATGCATCACCAGAACCAGTGAACTTTGCATGTGTCAGTAGCTAACAGTGATATGTTTTGAGATTTATGTGCAGGTCATTGAACGGGCAGACGTAATGAACAGACTTGTCACAAACACCTAAAATGCAAGCAAACGGTGCTTTACTTAGTAGCACATAAAGATGGCACACCACCAAGTTCAATTTACATTCTTTGTGTTTTCAATTTTTTGTACAATTCCAGAAAGGCAAAAGATGGATCATTGTTTGATATTAAAAAAAAAGTAATTTACATGTTTGCATCGGAATATACCCTCAGTAAAGGTGCAGCAGGATTTATTTTTCAAAATATGATAGTGAAGAAAGAGAGACATGGCAGGACAATGAGAGCTGCTCAAGAGTCATCACATACGTTACAGAGGAGGCTAATGACACTACACAAACCTACTGAACAAAAGCTCATAGACAACAAACCACAGTCTTCTTTAAAAGTGGACGTCTATCTACACTTAAGTCTATTGGGTATGACAAGAGGTAATGGAATGTGGGGAAAAAAGACACAAAAATGGTTGATCGCGGAGTAGGATGACACATTTTTTTTATTCAAGCATGCATGTGTGCAGTGCAAAAAAAAAAAAAAAAGCAAACACAAAACTCAGGTACATTCATGAATATAAATAAAGATGATCAGCAAGAAAATGCAAGGGAAAAGTTCCCCATTTTCTGACAAGCAGTGGCAGTTCAGCTAATCTATTTGTGTGATTTACCTTGATGCCAGGTGCTACATATAGCATTTTCACATCAACAAATCTTTTGAATGTTATTTTTAGATGTTCCTTTAATCGCTGTAAACAAGGGGCCATCGATGAGAAGCCAAAAGACAATTAAAAAAGGGCTTCTGGAGATATGTTTGTCGTTCTTAGAATGACAATGGTTTAATGAAGGAAAAGCCAAACACATCTATCCTTTACAACAAAGCAGAAGAAAACTTTTAGAGCAACATCTCCTGAGTGATAGGGCTTTCTGGAATGTATTCTAGTTTTAGGAAACACAATTTTAATAATATCAACTAAATTAATTTAGCAACGATATATTGATTTTAAAACTATATTTAAGGCTCCATCAAATGTGTCAAATTCTCTTTGGCTCTAAAAAGGACAACTGCTATTCCACTGCATAAGGGAAATGACAACAATAACCAAAACAATCTGATTTGTATGTACATGAAAGTGCATTGGTAGAACTATCTAACAGGCCTTGTCACAAGGCATATTCTTTTTAATGTCACATATACAATTGATATCATCAGTGTGAGTGACACGTACACTGCTTTCCCATGTTTCGGTGTAAACTGACTTACCAAGGCCTAAATGCCTCTGACTACAGGTAGTTCAGTTTTTTCAAATGTACAGCTAAATGAACTAAATGTACTATGATGAGACCAAACTCCGTCTTTAAAAGGATATTGATGTTGCAAATTCAAATTTAAACAAATCAATGGGTGGAAATGATGACCACTGATTTCATTTGAATTTGAACTTGTGTTTATATTTAGTTACTACACTATATCCTTTTTCTGAAAGAGGGATAGGTACATGTTGGGTGTGGGTAAGGGACAAACTATACCTTGGGGATAGGAGGTGAATTTGGATTTGGGGTCTATAAGGGTCTGTAGATCATACATTACCTGCTGGAGATTGCGCAGCATGTACAGGAGAGTCCCCTGTCTGCTGAGGCTCTTTTAAGTCTAGATGTAAATCAGCTTTCTTGCTTTCTGTGGTGTTGGAGTGATTTTTGCGTGGACCTCCGTTGTATTGTTCTGTGTACCGGAGATCCAGGTGGCATGGGCGCTCCTGGGGAGGCAGGTCTCTCATGTCAGCATCCAAGAGAGGGACGCTAGACTTTATTCCGTTACTCTCCGCCTGGATCTCTGTAAGGAACACAGACGACTTTTCATCCTGTTCCTCGTCTGTTTTTGTATGCGTTGTGTCTGCAGTTTCAAGATGGCCTTTCAGGTGGTTCAGTTGGTTGTTGGTTGGAACAAAATTGGTCTGAGGAGTTGTGGAGTCAGACTCGAAAACGTCACAGGGAGTCGCACCCTCACTGGGCTGCTGAGGTGGCGTTTGGACGCCGCCTTCTTCTGAACCCAACTCCTCACACTCGTCGACAGAGAGCAACACCGAGCGGCGAAAGTTAGCCGTGGTCTGGTAGTCGGCCTGATCGTTATCCTGGTCAGCGGCTTCATCGTCGAAAGCCAGGTTGATGATCCCCTGAAAGTTTGGAGAGGATTCAGATGGTGGCAGCGGGGCCTGCCCCGGAATCACCTCGACTTCAGATCTGTCATCTTCCGTCGCCTCTTCATCTTCCTCCTCAGAGGAGAAGAGCCTGTGGTCGGGGATGCTTTTCACTGTCACCGTTGCCTCCACCTCGGAGTGCTCCTCCTCTGCAGGAAGCTCGTCTCGGTGCAACCAGGAGCGAGGAAGCTGTCTCACTCCCTCTTCCTCGCTGGTGGTCTCCGCTTCTCGCCCCCGCAGCCTCACCTCCACTCTTAACCCCGCCCCGCCTTCGTACATTTTCAACTCCTCTGGGGTGCTTGTGTCGCTGCTACTGCGACCCAAGAAGTCGTGGCAGCGCATGGTGCCGCACTTTGAAACGCCTCTTTCGTTGGAGCAGCAGTCGTCGTCTTGCGAGCCGCCGGCGTCGTAGTCCTCCGAGCGGGGCTTGATGTCATCGGAGGAGGTGGTGTGTGTGCTGCAGGTCTCAGACTCGGGGCTGACCCGATGGTGGACGGCACTCCAGGAGTCCTCTAAGGGGGGGCCAGTGCTGCACACGCTGCATGGTGTGTCTACGAGACGTTCTGTATCTCTCTGACAATTTCTGGAGCCGTCCTCGTGAATTTGCCCTCCACTGATGACTCCGCTTGGGGGCGGTTTCACTTTACTCCCTTCAGTCTGTTTGCAAGTGTCCGCCTTAGCAGATTTGACATGAGGGGTGTTGCTAGCTGAACAGTTAGTGTTTTCTGACAGTATTTCAGTCTTCTGGAGATGCTGCTTAGATTCTAGTTGCGGGCTAAGTAAATCCCCTTCACCCTGCTTTGTTGGCTGTGCTGCAGGCTGGTCAGAGAATTCTACCTCTGTACTCTCTTTATGCACTGCAACTTCACCAGTGTTTTCTGTTGGCGCTGACTCCGTTTTACAGTCTTTGCCATTGACTGTCTCTTTTCCTTTAGTTGCTGATTTCTTGGTAGCAGGTGAGGTTTTGGAAGTTCCTGATGATTTTGGGGAAGCTTTCTCCGTAGGCTTTGGTCCGGACTTGGCAGCTGCTACTGAAGATTGCTTGGAGGGGGCCGAAGAGGCTTTTGGTGGTTTAGCACTTGATTTAGCTGAGGCTCCAGCTGCTGAAGCAGGTTTTGTGGTCTTCTTTTTTTGAACTTCAATGGCTGCTTTTTCTGGTTCTGAGGATTTCAACCCGTCCTTGCTGTTTTCTTTCCTTGGGGAAGCAGGCTTTTTTGATCCAAGCTTAGAGACTAACCCAAAGACAGAATAGAACATTAGTACTTTGTACAGTATATGGACAGACATTTCAATTAAGCATACTTTGAACATCTCACCATGGTCTGGTGTGCCTCTTCCCTTGGTTTCTGCTCTTGCTGCTGTCCCTCCTGTAGATGCTTTCTCTGCTGCACTAGTCTTGACTTTAGCACTTTCTCTTGCACTAGACCTATTGATAGGACTGCTATTGATTGACGGAAAAAAAAACGCAATGTTAAATTCATGATGGTTCACATCATCTTTTAAGATATTCATAAGAAGAGTCACAGAGAAATTAAATCATGGATTAATATTCAGCACCAGCGGGGGGCAGCAGAGTTGTTTTCCCATTTTGTCAAGGACAAGCGTCTGAGACATGAACTGATTATGAAGGCAAAGAATTTCAAGTTGTTGTCCTTCTGAAGGATGTTCTTCCTTGGATTTTAACTCAATCTAAGTGTAGGAGGAACAAGAGGGAGCATATTATCTGACATATTAGTGAGTTCACTGAGGACAGTTTTACAGATTCTACATTACCTAATACGACAGGGCCATGTTTAAAAAAATACACAATGTACAAAGGATTATTCTGTCTACGTAAATTGAGGTTGGAGGGGAATTTAATATTCCAGAGCATCTTCATTCTCAGCACACAAATTCAGAAGTTGAATACAAGATAGATTAACTGTTACCTGCACCATCTGTTTCTTTACAAAAGATGACAATCAAAAGATGCAAAAATAATATCTTTTGTTAGGCCATCAGCTTTTTCTGGCTAACTTACATGGTTTCTTTGCAGGGAGGCTGTTAAAAATGGATGTGCTCCCAGTTTGAATGATGCAGATTTTTTATAAAAAGGATATTTTTAACATCTTTGAAAGGCAGATTCAAGTTGTCAGAATATGTTGACAGTTTTCTGTTTTGCTTTCTAGGCCCTGAATGCTTTCAGCTACTGGAGTTGGTTATATTGTCTTTGAGCTCATGTTGCAACTTGTTTGATTCACTGCTCTTGTTTGAATGTTTTAAATAATTTGCTAATTCCATTGTTTGGTGATGTTTTTTGGATAGCAGACATGTAGGATTTAGATTCTCACGCTCTCTTTTTTGTCATTCTGTTATATGTTTTGTACTTTACAAGTCACGAGTCAAATTTCAGGACCCTTTTCCACCCTTTGAGTTCTTATAGGCCACATTTGTTTTAATCACATAACAGCTTTTTCCACTGCCTTGGTACTTGGGACTGCGTAAGTCTGACATATAACAAACACATGGAATGCTACACAGTCTGAGGGGTAAGCAAAACACAGTTTAATATTTAGAAATATCTCCAGTTGGAAGTTTTTTTAGCATGGCTTATTTACAGGAAATTAACCAAAATTCTTGCTGGATTGTTGACTTGGTCTTGAAACACTCAAAAGAAAATCTCTAACTCCATTTGAGTTAAATTGTTCTTAAATGCCTTTAACAGTAGAATGGCATTTAATGGTGGACCCACAACAAGCAGAACATCCATGTGGAAGTTGACAAGGAAAGCACCTACAGAACGTTACACCTAACATTTCACTAAATACACAAGAAGCTAAAGAAGAAGTGACGAGAAAGCACACTGATAATAACCATTAAGGAAGAGCTCACCTGCTGATCTTCGTTGTATCTGATTTCTGAGGAGGTTTTGTCAGTGTGGATTTGACCCCCGCCTTAGTTTGGTGTTTGGGCTTCGCACCTAAACACAGAAAACAATGCATGATTTTTGTGAAAAAGATAGCATTGAAATTAATCAAAAGAGACTTAGTCTGATACATATTAAACCTTGATTTCCTAAATCAATCATTCAGGGTAGCAGGGATACGTAGCAGGGTAGGGTAATGTGCTGTGAGTATGTGAGCGGACATCAGAGACAGTTAACAAGTCACTTTCAGTGTGGGGTACATGGACAAACTCAAGCATTGAACACTTGTATCAGTGGAGAATACCTCACCTCCTTAAACTATCAGAAAGATATATCCTCTACGGGAAGTGCAGAGTGATCAACCTCTGCTGTTCTGCTGAGAGTTTGTACACTGGTACCAGCAGGCTGCTTTGTTTGCTAAATCAACATACTGTACATGCCTGCCCTCGTCTTCCAAAAATCCCTCTTGGCCATAACACAAATTCATCATACTACTAAGTCTGCATTCACATTCAGCTCAAACATTGTAATCGGTGTCAGTCACCATGAGGAAATGAGAGGAAGTGAATAAAGAGAGCTAACCTGCGCTGTCATTACGAGGGCTGCTGGCACCGTTCTCTGGCGAAGCGCTGCCTGATGTGGACGAGGCGCTGGGCTGAGCCTGGGAGGTGCCAATAGAGCTGTCAGCCTTTCCTGTCGAGCTCCTCTGAGTCTTGGTTACACTTGGCTGGCTTGTAGATGTGCAGCTCGGGGGAGATGTTTTAGGCCGTGCACCTGGATTTGGTTTCTTCTCCTGCTCTCTCGCCCCTTGAGAGCTTCTGGAGCTGTTGGCTACATCTCGTCTGGCCCCTGCAGCTCCAGTGCCGTTGACAACTGGTATTCCAGCTGATGCTGTCTTTGCTTTGGCTGCTGCACTACGTTCCCCTGGCTTCTTTGCATTCTTTGCCTTGGATGTTTGACCCTCACCTGGCTTGCTAGCTGTCCCCACTCCATCAGACTTCATGGCTGACGCAGCACTACGGGAGGAAGAGGTAGTGTTTTCAGACACCCTCTGGGTCCTGTGCACAGGAGGACTCTCAGGTCCAGATGAAGGGCATTTCACAGCCCTTGGCTGCAGGATAAAGAAATAACCATATTAGTCATGCAACTGGAAGACATGATTAAGCTGCAAAGCACAGTGTGGTTTTATGAAACTGAATAACATTATAGCAGATTACAATAAGCTACTGGAGTACAAGACAAGAAAAAAGGATGACACAATGACACATCATCTAAACATCGGTTGTTGAGATTTCTATAGTCTGTGCTAAATAGACAAACAAAGTTCATATAGCCTGTTTTTGATTTACTATCCTAAACAGCTGATTTGCTATCAGAAGTTAAGGGAATTAATTTTTCTTCTTTTTTTTCTGTGTGTCACTTTGTGAACTTTAGCAAATTACCAAACTGGCTTTTGTCAGTAGAACAATCATCTGCAGGTTCGAAAAAATGAGCAATCATATCTTAAAACAGACAAAGTGCTTGTTTTCACCGAATCACACCACTTCTCATGATCTATAGCAGCTCTACTGCTCTTAACCACTCACACCTAACATCTTGAACTCCTCTGTGGATCACCTCAGCCAGGATTATCTTAGCAATACATTTGTTTACAGAGGCCCTGCAGCAAATGTTATAGTGTATCTCTGTGCTGCGTGGGTGGGGCATGACATATGGCATCTGATGGCCACACTGTAATGACTAGCAGGGATTAAACACATCTACAGGGATTTCTCAGAGATAAAACTGCCTCATAAATTCACATCGTACATTTTCATCCTTAGAGTCAGAGTTCTGATTAACAAAAACAAATGTTAGTTTCTGAAACACCAAAAAGAGTTTATATACATGTTAATGTATTTAACATATATGGTTGGAGGGGTAATGTTACCTGTGAGCTAGTGAATACAGGCTTTTTACCAAGTCTCCGGTTGTCCCCCTTATCAATAGCATCTGTCAAAAGAGGATCAAAGGAAGAGCAATGATCATCAAAAAGAAAGTATTCTGCATGCAAAACCATGTATCATATATTCAAATCAATACAAAAAGGGCTGCACTGATTCCTTTAAAGGGAGAAGCTGAAGTCTTATTTTTTAGATGAGATGGACAAGCCATTTTTTTCATTCACAAATGTCCTTTTCTGTGTTTACCCTTTGACAATTGGGAAACAAACACTACATGAATAGATTGATCAAACAGGATATTTCAAGCAAAGCACTGCTATGCTTAACACAGAAACAATTTGAAAACCTAATCATGTTTTGTTTTTAATACCCAAATTGACTCTTTTCACTGAAATACATTTGTGATGCTTGCATGCGAGATCCGGAATCCGATTTCGGTGGCAACAAATGTACCAGTAATAGGCCCAGGCTGATACCAGCTGCATACATTATTCATGCAGTGCATTTCAGCACACTGCTGGCTCAACAGTGAGGGAACAGTATGTTATTTGTATTTGTGGGGGCTACAAATCAGACCCACAAAGACAGGAATCCAGCCTTCACTCGCACCCTTTAAAAACAAGCATGGCGTGTCTGGTGCAATGCCATGTTAACGATACTCATCTCACAGAGACTTGTGAAAAGGTAGCTCACATAAAGCTAAAATAGATTAAGTGTGCCTCGACAGCTGTGTAGAAAAAAGCCATGTATTAAATCAGCCAGCATGCACGTAGAGCTTTGCTTCATCTCTAATGATGCAGAGCCATGGCCTCAACGCAGCGCCAGGCTGGGGTAAGGAAGAGGAGGGGAGAAACACACACACACACACACACACACACACACACACACACACACACACACACACACACTGCAGCATGAATCTCTGTCTGTGCCCAAGAGAAGAGAGCCCACAGCAAGGATGTCCTCCCTTACCTGCTAGTATCCTCTCCCTGTGTTTGGTAGAAAGGGTCTCCCATCCCTGCGTGTGGCGGACCGCGTAAAAGGTCTGAAGCAGGAAGGTCCACAGGCGAGCGCGCAGCGTACAAATCTCTTGCCTGAACGGCTGGCGGTAACACAGAGGAGAGAGAGAAGAATGGAAAGGGGTGCACTACAGCACAGGCAAATCAGCAGCTGCTTCAAGAACCTTTCACCATGGCAACAAATGCCCCTCCCTCCTCCCTTTGCCTCCCTCTCTCTGTCCCTCCCTCCCACTCTGTCTCCGTTGCAGAATGCACTTGAGCTCCCTTGAGTGAAATCAGTGATGTCAGTGGCTGATGCCCATTCCCCTGTTTCCACGCCTGATTATGAAAACAGGGCTGGGAGGTTAGGGAGGAGCCAGCTCCAGCTCCTCGGCTGCACTGACCACACACCCGTCAGCACACACACACGGCCAGATTAGTGAAGGCCGTTGGCACACGTCACAGCCTCCCTCAGCCTAATCCATTCTGCCATACTGTACCGTATTTACAGGGAGCTGAATGAGCTTTAACTCAGCAGCCGGGTCACTTTCCCTGGAAGTCATCTCACGAGCTTAACCTGCCTGCTCAACTCAATACATTTTGTTAGTCTCTTAAGGGTTTGACAAATATGATTTTAAATGATCTTCATAGATATTGAACAAAGCTTACAATTGAGTTGAAGGGGAGAGAAAGCCGACAGGGAGAGAACATTTATAGCAGAGAGCTTAAGCTGTGTTAAACCTGTAGCTTGGAAGATTTGACGAACATATTAAACATTGTGGCTTTTTAAAGGGTTACTTCAGTATTTTTCAACCTGGCCCTTATTTCCCCATGTTTTTGTCTCCAAGTGACAAAGGTGAACAACAATTTCAGAAATGGATCCAGTATTTAGCAAGACTGCACCATCATTGTACATCTAATAGAGCTATTTTCTGTCAGCAAGCCTGTCTGTGGCAAAACATGTACTTTTAGTGAACGCACATTGAAAGTGAGGAATTGCCCCAACGAATTAATTGTGCAGCGTATTTGCCCAATTCTGGAGGGGACGATAGAAATCCAGGGTTGAAACATACCAAATGTATCACTAGTGTGTTTAAGATTCAATGTGACTTATTAAAAGCTTGACTGAAAGAAGTTACACTGCACTGTGTTTGGGAGTGGAGCCTCACTTCCCTTTTCTAGTGGTTGTGAAGAGTTGTTCAAATCTATGGCAAAACATATTGTAAGTAGACCATGATTTCTTAATTCATTTTTCTCAAATTACAACAGAGTCTGGGAAGAAGACCAAAAGTCAAACTGGACTAAAATGGAAACCGCACAACAAACGGGTTTGAGCACAGCCTAAGTATGATGTTCATTTTTGAAATACAGAAACATTGATTCATTTCACCTCCTCTTGTTTTCTCCCTCCTTGCTGTAGGAGGGAGTCCTCTTCTCCGTCATCTCCACACAGGAGGTACACAGCAGCGAAAAGATCACAGCAGTTGTCCACAGAGGCACCCTCTCTGATAGCTGAACAAAGCTTCTTCAACAACGTGGGCTCACGGGTAACCTCTTCCCTCTGAGAAAAAACATAGAAACCTAAGTTGAATATGTTTGTTACAGTACAGCAGAGACTATAAGCATCAGCTCCAGCATCCTCTTACCCTGCGAAGCTCCTGAAAGGCCTGAGTTCCGATTACATCGGGGAGATGCTGGACAATGACGTGCAGGCTCTCCTCCTGCAGCTGCGTGGCGAGACTCCTCACCTGCTGGGCCCACTTGACTTCTGGGAGACTGCCAATCAGCTGCTCAGTGCCACAGAGCATGGTTACTGCGTTCTGCACAGTCTGAATGGAAACATCTATCAGCTAAAGACAGTCTATACCAGGGGTAGCCAACGTTGTGCCCGCGGGCACTAAGTCGCCCGCAGGGGGGAAATTGGTCGCCCGCGTGCATGTTCTAAAAATAGCACAAGTCACCATGGAGCTCCGTCTAAAAAAATTATTGAATACATTTTTATTTTTAAAATGACAATATTGAATATAACATTTTAAAAGCACACATTCTGTATGTACATATGTAAGTGAAATGGAGATTTGGTGCGTGAAATTGAACTCTGACCCCAGATAGGTTCAGAGTTGAACTCCACGCACCAAATCTCCGTTCCACCTTTAGCTGAGACAAGCTAGCATGAGCAGCTACGATCATGGGCCTCATCACCACACACACAAACA